TCAGTCATTCTCCCTTTCTTCTGAGGTATTGCTGGATGGACAAACATCTCCAGCCTTTTGCTTCACAGTCTATTGAGGTTTCCATTTGCACCACACGGGGATTCCGCATGAAGACTATCTTTGAACTTTCCATGTTCAAACAGAGTATCTTAGGATTCCTTGCCTTTGGAGTGCCACCTGTCGTTTTGGTGATGCATGGTTTCACGGAGAAAGATCTGCTGATCTGTTCCCTGAAAGGGTCTGCAGTCTCCAGGACCACTAGGGGTCAGAATGGACTCGGCAACACACAACCACAATTACACAAGAGGGAAGGATGAATAAGTCCCCAGTGTGAGAATCTACAGTGGGATTACAGAGAAAATGACAAGGGAATATTCCCCTCCTTTTGTCAAAAACACACTCTATTAATGTTGGAGAGCACCACTACAGAAATCTTTTGCTCAAAAAACAGTCAAAATCAAAATATGAGATTTGAAATCGTGTTATTTTTATTCCAATAAGTTAATAGCTGCTTTGCATCTGATAATTGCGAGAATTTTTCTGAAAGTTGTCTTTTAGTTTTACATTCGAGCATGTGATAAACATGACCTCAAGCAGCCAATCAATTCACAAGTGCCAGTGTTTTAAATATCACATTGTGTCAACTTAGTGGCAGCTCAATTTTAAAACTGGAAATCTGATTCTTGTGTTTGAATTTTAGGAATCTACTTCCTCTGGCATAAAAATAAAATAAAAAGTTTATTTACCAGACAGTATTAGAACACATATTATTGATGCTATTTTTAAGGGTTATAAGAAGACAAGCCAGGTCACCCTCAATGAGGATCTGATGATGCTACCCACGTGTTTCTTAATATCTGTAGACGTTATGTAGAGCCAGTTCCATCTCATGGAGCCCCCACGTGTTTCAGAATAGAATTACACTCCGCAGGGTTTTCCTGGCTATGATCTTTTGGAAGTTATCTTCTAGATAACTAGGCTGTTCTTCCAGGGTATCTCTGGTGGGTTCCAATCACCCAACTCTTTAGTTGGTAGCTAACTAGGGACTCACAACATCTATTACATCATTAATCAATTGGAGTGACCTCTCTGTCCCTCAGAACCACATCTCTCAGTCATCTGCAGTCTCATCTTTTGTTGAGTTTCCTGGCCTAGTGTGAATGTCCGTGAATGTGCCAACTGCCTTCACAGAATGAGGGATTCTGCCGGCCACAGGCCTCTTTGATTAGCTTTCCATTGATATTTGGGGTGGCCGTTTGTGGTTCAGGACTGTACAGGGGTGAGGAATTTGAAGGTCTTGCAGGAGATGTTTGAGAAGAGGAAGGTGTGCAAGGTTGGGTGTAGATGAAAGGTAGCCTCCAACGGGGATGCTGGTAATGCTCATGGAAGAGGGACGTGGAAAGATCTAGTGAAATACTTTCACAGTGCTCTGATGGACATTATAATGTCTGCGATATACCTCTCCTCCAATATAATCCCGTCTCTTGTAAAAAGACATCCATGCTGCTCTTTAACGCAGCCAGGCAAATTGAGGACCTTGCAGAGGTGCTAAATTGTATGTTAGGCTAAGATGAAGATGGAGCATGCGGAAGCTAAGGCTGCCGTGGTACCTGAGGACATTTTACCACATGAAACATTGGATCCTCTATATCTCAGCTTGCTCTTTATTAATCAGTATTTCTTGCTTGTGGAAATTATTGAAAACACTGTTCATGTCTAAATGGGATACCCCTCCTGCTACGAGCCTATGAAGATGCTGAGTACACCCTGAAGGGCAGCCTATTCTCATATGCCCTCAGGAGCGTGATCCAGTCAACTGGGGTGATTAGCGGCGTCAAGCTAGTTCTGACGTCTGGCGACCCCATGTGTCGCCAAGAGAAGGGTTCCACAGCCTTCAAGGCTGTGACTGTTAGGAAGCAGACCCTCAAAAACACCTCAAGGGTGGAGGGAAGGTGGGGTGGAGAAGGGGAACCGGTGACCAGGATCTACATGTGGCCTCCTCCCCGGGAGACGGACAACAGGAGAGTGGGTGAAGGGAGACATTGGACAGTGTAAGACATGACAAAATAATAATTTATAAATTATCAAGGGTTCATAAAGGGGGGTGTGGGGAGGGAGGGGAAAATGAGGAGCTGACACCAAGGGCTCAAGTACAAAGCAAACGTTTTGAGAATGATGATGGCAACAAATGTGCTCCACACCACGTATGTATGTATGGATTCTGATAGGAGTTGTATAAGCCCTCAATAAAATGATTAAAAAACAACAACCCCCAAACACCTTAGAAATGAGTTTAAACTGAAATTCTTTCAGTTATCAGTCCGGTGTTTAGCCTTCTGTGCCATTCAGGAACTCCTGTGCTACCTGTTCACATTTTTATCTTAAGATTTTCACAAAATTAAGAAGTACCAATTAAAAAAAATAGAAAGCAAACAAAAATTCCCACTTAGAAGCTTTCTAGGATAAGGAAGGAGGGGGCTCCCTCTTCGGTCTTATTATTAGAAAAAAAAGTTATACTCACTTTTATAGTTATAGTGAATTTCAGTATTTTAATGGTAGTCATAAAAGGCATTTAAAGCTGCTTGGCAACAGCGTTCCCTCATGAGGCAAATCACACTGTAATGCCACTCTGCGCTGCTTCTCAACTACTTGTGTCTAGAAAGAGCTGCTGGTTCTAACAACCTGAGCTTGTGCTGTGAATGTGTTTCAGGAGGAAGTAGGGAAAGATGCTACATGATAGGATCATTGTTCTATTTTCCCATGAATTTTAGGGTTAGGAAATTTCCATCAGGATGGAACCATGGTAAATTTTAGCGAAATCAACCTAAAATTTTATTTCCTTTAGAAGACCTCTACTAAAAGACCTCATGATAAGTGGAGAAGTTATCCTACGTATAAGCTAACCATTATAAAATTTTTATTATATCCTTGGTGGATTGCTAAGTATGACACACTGTGGGGTTAAGGGTAAGAGGAAACCCCACAAAACATCACAGGTCGGTAGGCGCAATTGTACAGCGATAATAAGTAGAGATTATAGTAAAGTCAGAGAGCATGAGAGTTAAAGGATGGAGTCAAGTAATGGAGTCAGACGCAATTCATGGTAGCATAGCTCACCTCACCTAGGCTTGATGGTCCTCGTGGAGGGGGCTTAGCCGTCAGAGAAGCCGCTGCTTCGTCCTCCTTAGTCACCTTCTCCAGCCACCCCCCTGAGAACCAGGGAGCCTCCTTATTTATTGCTAACCACGCATCATAGAGTCATACATCACAGAAAGGGGCAATACAATTCATTCTAGAACAAGTTTGATCATTCTGGTGTCTCATACAATAAAGCCGGCAATTACTATCCTGGGAGACATGCAAGTTCCCTGATAGTGGACAATAACCTGAATCACCAGGAGGGGTATTAACATAGGCAATACAAGCAATAGGAGGGGGATGACCTAAGGGTGAATGTGCAATAGTAAGAGGAGGGAATAGGGGGGCATGTGTGGCAAGATAGTAGCCTAAGCTTAGTCATCTTAGAGTGGTCCCAGGCTTGCCTATGGGCACTGCTTCGAGGGAACAATAACAGAAAGGAATGGGCCTTATTTAGGGTGAGTCAGACTAATAGTCTAGCCACTATAGATGGCTGATGTTAAGGAGAATAACCTCTGACTTACTTTTGCTGCCTAAAGAACAGTCACGCTAAAGCAGCTAAGTTTGGTACATATTCTGTGGAGACAACTTAAGAGAAATCCTTCTGTTCCCCACAACACACAAAGAGGCCTGTGTTCTGGGGGAGTATGAGGAGAGGGGAGAGCACAGAGTAAGGCATCCATTCATTCTCTCCTTGGTCCTATCACCTTAGTGAGAATCTGACCTGGCAAAAAATATATCTAATATGCATAGACTGTTGTGAAGAAAGTAAGACCAAAGAGAGTCTATCGCCACGAATTCACTGTTCTAAGATTTTTAATACGGTTTTCTATAAATAAATTAAAGTTGATTTAAAAACTCCCTAAAACATTAACTAGTGTTCTTAAAAATGATGGCTTTAATAATGTGTTGTGAATTAAAAACTGGAGTCTCTGAATGGTGCACATGTTTATGGTCTTGACCATTAACCAGAGATTAGAGATTTAAATTCACACAGCTGTAATTCAAAACAAAAGGTTCAGTGATCTGCTTCTAAAACATCAGCATATATATGCTTTTCACCATGGTCTGGTCAGAATGTTTGCCATTGTTGGTGTGTGTTTCCTTCATGAGTAGATGAAAAGAAAAGACATGAATCTGCTCTTTCTGCCTCACCTCCAGCAAGCACGGTTTTATTTGGGCTTTGCCTTTTACACTGGTTGCTCATTATGACTCCATCCCAGTATTCTCTCCTCAGGTTGGACGTGTCTCTTACAAGAGCTGCTTGCTCACAGGACTGCTCTGCTAGTAAGGATGAGACATGCTCTGGGTTACTAGAAGGGAAAGCCAGGGCAATTGCAACAGACAACTGAACTGTCATTCCCTCGCTGCTCTTCTCTAACGCAGAATTTAACATCTCTGGTGGGGTTTCAGAGTCGTGAGGAGACTCACTTCTAATCTAACACATGGCAGGTAACTGAGATGTAATGAGTTCGGGCCTGTTGATGATATTGGAAGATGAATGCAAGAAATATCTATCCAAATATCAGTCCACTTCTCTGTTTTCCATCAAATAGGGTCAGGTGAAGGAGTTCCTGGGTGAGGCAAAGGGTTATTGGACAAGGCTTCTGACGGGCAGGAGGTTTAAGTCTGCCCATGGGTGCTTGGGAACAAAACATCCATTGAGGAAAACTGGTAAAATCAGCAACATTCTGTTTTGGTGTGTTTTTTTTGGGGGGTGGGGGGGTGGTCGTGAGGGAGTTCCCTATTGGTTGTCAGTGTTGTTCTTAGACCAAAAAACCACCCTTGGAGGAGGAAAGTGGTTGGTACTTGATGCTGACGCAGATCAATGGCCTGACTTCTCCTTGTTGTCGTTTGTGAAGCCCCTGCCACCTTGTCATGACTCCGTGGAGTCCGTGCAGGTGTTCCAGCAGCACTGTCAGATCGCAGAAGAGTACCATGAGGTCAAAAAGGAGATCGCCCTGCTGGAGGAAAAGAAGTAAGTGTGACCTCCCTGAGCGTTCTCCCCTCTCACCTTGTCTGCTGACTATGGACCCAGAATGGTGGCATGTCCAGTGTTAGGAGGGGCGAGACGGACCAACATTGTGTGCTACCGGAGTCACCATGCGTCTTACATGGATGTTGCTTTTGATAATAGAAATGGGGGCAAAAGTAGAAGAAATGCTGTACTTTACAGGATGGTGAGAGGAACAGCATGAATACTTTCCAGTAGTTTAAATAAGAAATTTCAGGGTCGGAAATGAAAAGGTCAACCCAGAGCCATATTATGTTTCCTGTGAACAAGCCCAGGGATCTCAGAGTATTTTGGCTTGGGGTGAATTTTAATTAGTGCTTACCTAATGGATTTCCACCACAAGTGAAGGAGTTTATTGGAATAATATAATGACTGCATGGAAGCTTTCTATCTCGATAGCTTCTATTACCAACTCTATTATACCAACTTCAATACCAACTGTATCCATTGCAGTTGTTAAGCCTTCCTCCAATTCGGATGCCACATTCTTCTTCATATAATCCAGTTTCTCTGATTCTTTGCTCAGCCCCCCCCATATATATATATACAATATACATATTTTTATATTGCATTAAAAATAAGCTGATATGATAATAATTCATGTCTAGTCTTTGTTTGAAATCTCTGCTGTAACATTGAGAGGAATAGTAACTGGGGGTATTAATACTATAATAAAATAATAAAATTAAACCCCAAGCTAAACCCACTGCATAAAATCTATTCCAACTGGTAGCAGCCTTATAGGACAGAGTAGGAATGCTCCATAGGGTCTCCAGGCTTGTACATTTTTATGATAGCAGATGCTGCATTTTTCTCCCAAGAATCAGCTGGCTGAGAGGGTTGAACCAGTGAACTTTCGTTTAGTAGCCAAGCACTTGAATGTTCTACCACCTGCACTCAGTAAAGTAAGAAAAGAGTCTGTGGATAGAGATGAGGAGGCTAGCGTGTGAATGAACATACTTAATACAAGCTGTTGGAGATACAGAATGGGCCAGACTCTTAATGTAGATGCTACTCACAAACCAATATGCGCTTCTTCAGAACCTATCCCGTTTTCTCTTCAACTTTGTTTAAATTTTCTATATATGTTTGAAAGTTCAGTATCTTCTTTAAATCTTTCCTCCACTAATTGACTGATTGTGGAGCAAAGCCCAGATTCTTTTGTTATGATCAGTTTCCCATGAAATTGCTTAAGTTCCCTTTTCTCTATTCTCACCTCGGTCATTTAGGTTTGGAGCCTGTACACCCACCTTCTGGTTGATGCAATCCTACAACTGGTCTCCCTTTGCTATATGTTTTTTTAAATAGATGTAAAATGACTTCCAGCTCTGGATTTCAAGACATGTCCCCTTCTGAGGATCCTTTGGGATTCAAGAGTTAAGTGCTTGGCAGCTAATGGAAAAGTCTGTGGGTTTGAACCCACTGGCCACTCTGCAGCAAAGAGATGTGGCTGTCTGCTTTTATAAAGACCTTAGCAACCCTCTGAGGGGGGTTGTAATATTCCCATAGCATTACTGTGAGTAGGAATCAACTCGGTGGCAACGGGCTAGTCCAGTATGGTATTGATTCATTTGTAGAACTTGCTGTCTCACCTCTTGCTTCAGCTCTTTACTTTCACCAGAACCCAAAGCCCCTCCAGCGTCTGAGTCCTTACTCACAGAAGCCTCTAGGCATAGAATGACAGCCCTACTTTTGCATACGTCCAAGAGCTACTCTCCGTTGAGAAGGCTC